CAGAGTGCCAACACGGCAATTTAACCCGAATACTGAGGTTTTAGTTTAGAAAAAAACAACTCATACATTAACTTAAGATGATCCAAACAAAGTAAAGAAAGCAATCCCAAATGTTTTCATTTACTTTAAATTATTTGGCAGAGAATTCCACACTTTAATGACAGTCTGGCCCTGGCTGGGGCGATGGCACGCGTGCCCACAGAGAGGGCTCTGAGTGCCACCTCTGGCACCTGTGCCATAGGTTTGCCACCACTGCAGTCTAAGTTGTGGGGTCTTGTGAGCCAAAATTCTACTTTGCGAGCTGCTGGCATGAAAGTTGTGAGCGAGCGATTTGGCTGCTGCACAAATCAGTTTGCTCTGGAGCCCTCCTTCCTGAGCGAAGACAAAAACGTGTGAGCCGGAGGCTAAAAATACTGTGAGCTAGGTCACACTAACTCAGCTTAGAGGGAACACTGCCCAATGCCCGTGTCTTTATGTAGAAATGATGAGATATATAACAGAATATGAATTAACAATGAATTTAATAATATAGAAGAAGAAGAAGAGAGAAGAGATGGGATTTATACCCCGCCCTTCACTTGGAGTCTCAGAGCGGCTTCCAAACTCCTTTCCCTTCCCCTCCACACAACAGACACCCTGGGAGGTGGGTGGGGCTGAGAGAGCTCTGATGGAATCTGCTCTTTTTTCGAGGACAGCTGTGCTAGAGCTTGTGACTGACCCAAGGTCACATCAGCAGGTGCAAGTGGAGGAGCGGGGAATCAAACCCGGTTCTCCCAGATTAGAGTCCGCGCTCTTAACCACTACACCAAACTGGCTAGTTGCAAAATATAATAGTTATGAAATCTGAAATAAAAAAATGCTTGAAGTACGGACCATTGTATTCTATATAAAATATTTTTAAAAACTATAATGAAGGGAATGTTGGGGAGAAATATCTATATGGGTCTTTATATTAAAGAATGGCTGGGCCTTGGCTGTCTGGAACCCACCTTTTCCCTCGGTCAGGAAGAACAGCAACAAGGATTCCACCCACCCACCCCAGTTCCTAGGAAAGGTACAGGAGCCTGGCTATAATGACTGGCATCTGTCCCCTACCAGCTTTAGGGAAATCCTAGAAATGCCAAAAGTAGAAGATGACAAGAGATTGGATTTATACCCCGCCCTTCACTACCTGAAGGAGTCTCAGAGCGGCTTACAATCTCCTTTCCCTTCTCCTCCCCACAAGAGACACCCTGTGAGGTAGGTGGGGCTGAGAGAGCTCTCCCGAGAACTGCCCTTGAGAGAAAAGCTCTGAAAGAACTTGTGACTGACCCAAGGTCACCCAGCTGGCTGCATGTGGAGTGGGGAATCAAACCCGGTTCTCCCAGATTAGAGTCCGCGCTCTTAACCACTACACCAAAAGTGACTCATCCTTTCCAAATCTGGGTTCACAAGACCATTTTTCCTCTTGGGATGCCAGGCAGAAGATCCTTTTCCAGCCCACAGATGTGGGGAGATTTGGCCTCTGGATGACCTTGCCATTTTTTTTTGAGAAGAATCAAAAGGAAAGCTGTACTCTGATCTTCCAAGGTCGTTTCACAGGGTAACCATGTCAGTCTTCAATGGAGCAGCTAGAGTACAGAAGCAACTTAGAGAGCAGCAAGATTTCTGGAGTACGAGCTTCCCAGCGTCAACGCCCCCTTCGTCTGATCCCGGATGACTATCAAAATATCATCCCCCCAAAATCTTGTTCATCTCTAAGGTGCTACTGGACTCAAATCGAGTGTTCTGATTTTTCCAAGCATTTGTACAAAAACACTGAGGCTGCACAACAGGGGAGGGAACCAACTGAGGAACACGGCTCCTCTCTGCTGCTCTTCTCTTTACAATAATAATAATAATAATAATAATAATAATAATAATAATAATAATAATAATTCAATTTATTCATCGCTCAATCCTGCAGAGCTTGCTGGCTCTGAGCGATTTACAGTCACTCATTTTTCACGAGGGACTAACAATGCTTTGTGGGGTGAGGGAGGACAACATATATACATCTTAAATTGCACACATTCACAGCCGAAGAGGGTTTCATTCAGATGCAGATGAGACGTGATCCGGAACGGCATTTTTCCTCGGCCGAGTTTGATGGCGTCAGCTTTCCTCCAGACTTCTTCGAGTTGTAGCGCCACACTGCCATCGCCTGGCCGGACGGCCCATTACAGGCTTTTCTTCACGCCGAGGAGATCTCTCTAGGCTTTCCATCATGCGAGCTGGACTTCCGTTCGCCGGCTAACACCGCTCCACCCCACGAGGGGGAGGGGTTCATTTCATTTCATTACATTTCAAAGAACAATCAAATCTGGACCAGCTCAAGGCTGAAAACGAAAACCGCAGAGTGCGGCATGCACTTCCCACTTTTAATCACTGCCATGAACCTACCATGTGCCTAAAAGACTTGCATCGCAACATTTGAAGACAACACAGTCCATTATTGCACAAAGCAAAACTCAGGAATCCAACCTTCAGCCCAAGGTTGGTTTCATTCAAGCAGCCAAAGTGCACAGGACCATACAGCTTTCCTGTAAAGATATTCTGCTTTTTCCAGTAAAATAGCTGAGATATTAGCTGCATGTAACACCCTTCTTTTCAGCCCCCCATATCCTACCAAGACATAAATCAGTTCCACTAGCCATGTTATGTACATTCCAGAAATATGTCTCCAATATTTTCACCCTAAAAAGGTTCCCTTGCTTGAAAGCCAGTCGAATTTGACTCTAGGGTTGTGGTGCTCATCTCCGTTTCAAAGATGAAGACATTTCCGTGGTCATGTGGCCAGCATGACTAAACACCAAGGAACGCTGTGACCTTCCCACTGAAGTGGTACCTATTTATCTACTTGCAATTTCTTGCTTTCAAACTGCTAGGTTGGCAGGAGCTGGAACTAGAGAAGGAAGCTCACTACGACATGCGGCACACTCGGGTCTCGAACTGCTGAACTACCGACCTTCCACAGCCTGCAGTTCAGCGTCTTAACCACTTGAGCCACCACAGCTCCCTACTTACGTCTTTTAAAAATTATGCTTGAAGTCTGCATTCTTGGAGATATTTCCACTATCACTTTCCAAAGAATATCTCATAAAATATGGCACCCAGGCAAGAGCCTTTGCCTCAAAGACTTCCCAGGAAATCTTGTGTCAAAATAAATGTTTGTGGGTTTTTTTGTAGGTGCCTAAAAGGTCCTCTGCAATTATCAAGGTGGGCTTTCCCAGAGTTCATGTGCATAACCTTTCTCGATCTTAGCCGAGGCACACATTTACAAGACGACTTTCTTGCAGTCCTTGTTGGTACTTTGTTGTAGGCCTCCAGATGACAGCTAAAGTAGGGGATGCAGCAGGGAAGATTATTTGTAATTTAATTTCTGAAAACACAAACAGCTCGTATGCAGAGCAAGAAGAAGTTTTGGAAGTTGGCATCAACAGCAGATGGAATAGCATGTTGCTTGAACTTTGAGACAGAACAATATTCCATTTAACATTAGAACATAAGAGAAGCCAGTGTTGGATCAGGCCAAGGGCCTATCCAGTCTGACACAGTCAAACAGTGGCCAAAAATACCAGGTGCCATCAGGAGGCCCACCAGTGGGGCCAGGACACTAGAAGCCCTCCCACTGTCCCCCCCTCCCCCAGCCCCAAGAATACAGAGCATCACTTGCCCCAGCCTGAGAGTTCCTATCTATACCTTGTGGCTAATAGCCACTGATGGACCTCTGCTCCATATGTTTATCTAATTCCCTCTTGAGGCCATTCATGCTTGTAGTTGCTGCCACTTCCTGTGGCAGTGAATTCCATGCGTTAATCAGTTCGGTTTGGTTAACCTTTATTGGCATAAAATACCTTAAAAGGATTACTATAAAAAGGAATATACATTTAAAACCATATACAGCCAAATATATAAAACATAATGTAGCATAAAACATTTAGTGTTAATCACTCTTTGGGTGAAGAAGTATTTCCTTTTATCTGTTCTAACCCCACTGCTCAGCAATTTGAGTCCATAAGTTCTCGTGTTTGTGTTCTGAAATATCAGCTGCTGGACAGAAAATATGATTGTGCCAAAGGCTTCAATGCCAGAGGGGAGGTTTGCCATCCACACAGTAGAAACACGCAGACCAAAATCTTTACTCATGGAGAAAAGGTGTCAATGTTTTAGGGACGCAAGCCCCCAAATGCTATTTTGCAATAAGGAAGTCTTCACTGAAATCAAATGATCAAATCCTTACCATGTGGTTTTATTCCTGGAAAACAAGGATCCAGTAACAGTAAAATATTCCTTTTTGACACAAGCCACCACACCAAGTTTAGTTACTATTAACACAAGCTACAGGAAAAAATCTTGGTGAATCTGATAAGAACTGCTGAGAAAAGGTAACAGAAATTCACATCAATGTTAAATGAAGCAAGAAATTGTGCTAATCTATTAGTTTAAATAATTCTGTCAATACTTTCCATTGTTAAATTGTTTTATTAGATTAACTTTTTTTACAATGGTACTTTAAAGGTGTCATAGTTTTGAGGCCAGCTGTGTTAGTCCACAGTATAACAGCTGGATTTGAGTCCAGTCGCAGCTTAGAGACCAAGAAGATTTTCAGGGTATGAGATTTTGAGAGTCAAAGTTCATGAAATTGCTGTGCCTTTTCATCAGTTTTTAGTTATTTGCAAGCAACCATTTCATGTCTGAACAACTATAAATTCCTCATTTAAAAACCCAGGAAAGAACTGTAAACTTCCAGCTTGACTGGATTCTTGGTTCACAGAATTCTGTGAACAGATGTTGTTCTGGGAAACAGGGACAACTTCTGAACTGAGAGGAGGAGAAATCAAGTGATGACTCACAGGGTCCTTCTTCCAACACCTGGAGTTTATTCTTTGATGTGATTTGAGATTCCCCTTAGCACTAAAGCTCTTCCCACACCCTGAGCATGGAAACAATTTCTCTCTGGTGTGAATATTTTGATGTACCTTAAGGCCTGAGCTCTGGCAGAAGCTCTTCCCACATGCCAGGCACTTATATGGTTTCTCCCCTGTGTGGATTTTTTCATGTGATGTGAGATTTATCTTGTGACTGAAACTTTTTCCACATTCTGAGCACTGAAATGGTTTCTCCCCTGTATGGATTCTTTGATGGGATTTAAGGCCTGAGCTGTGACAGAAACTTTTCCCACACTCTAAGCATTTATATGGTTTCTCCCCGGTGTGGATTCTTTCATGTGAGGTAAGGTTTATCTTCTGACTGAAGCTCTTCCCACATTCTGAGCATTTATATGGTTTTTCCCCTGTATGGGTTCTTTGGTGATTAATTAGCTTCGCCTGTGCAAAAAAGCTTTTCCCACACTCCAAGCATTTAAATGGTTTCTCTCCACTGTGAATTCTTTGGTGTGAACTAAGAACTCTACTTTGAGAGAAGCTTTTCCCACACAGTGAGCATTTATATGGTTTCTCCCCTGTATGGATTCTATGATGTGAAGTAAGATCTCTGCTATGATAGAAGCTCTTCCCACACTCCAAGCATTTGTATGGCTTCTCCCCTGTATGGATTCTTTGATGTGAATTAAGATATCTATTTTGCGAGAAGCTCTTCCCACACTCTAAGCATTTAAATGGTTTCTCTCCTGTGTGAATTTTTTTATGTCTAATCAGATCGGCACTCTGAGTGAAACCTTTCCCACATTCCAGACATTTAAATGGCTTTTCCCCTGTGTGGATCCCTTGATGTCTAATGAGACCTGTGCTCTGCATGAAGGTTTTCCCACATTCCAAGCATTTAAAAGGCTTCTCCCCTGTGTGGGTTCTTTGATGTGAAGCAAGTTTTACTCTCTGGCTGAAGCTTTTCCCACGTTCCAAGCACCTGTATGGCTTCTCCCCTGTGTGGATTCCTTGATGTCTAATGAGATATGCACTCTGACTGAAGTTTTTCCCACACTCCAGGCATTTAAAGGGTTTTCCCCCTGTGTGAACACTTTGGTGTGTAATTAGTTTTGTCCTCTGGTGGAAGCGTTTCCCACACTCTGAGCATTTATATGGTTTCTCCCCTGTGTGAATACTCTGATGCAAACTAAGGGTTGTGCTCTGACTGAAACTCTTCCCACATTCTAAGCACTGGTATGGTTTCTCACCCGTGTGAATCCTTGCATGTGATATAAGGTGTGTTGTTTGTCTGAAGCGCTTTCCACACTCCAGACATTCATAAGGTTTCTCCCCTGTGTGGATTCGTTCATGGGAAATGAGGTTTATCTTCTGTTTGAAACTCTTTCCACACTCCAGGCACTTATATGGTTTCTCCTCCAACTCAACCCTCTGGCGGTCTTGAAGGCTTGATGTATGAAGCTGATCAGTCTTGCCATCAGCGCTTTTATGTGATGTATCCCTCTTGTGGACTGTTTGATGCCTTGCTAGGTTGATCATCTCGCTGAAGCTCTTCCCACACTCCAAGCACACATATGGTTTCTCCCCTTTGTGGATCCTTTGGTGTCTAAATAGACTTGGGCGGTGACAGAAACTTTTCCCACACTCAGAGCAAATATATGGTTTCTCCGTGGTGCAGATTCTTTGATGAGAATTAAGTGTTGTGTTTTGACTGAAGGTCCTTCCAGGTTCAGAGTATGTATGTGGCTTCTCTCCTGTATTCAGGCTTAGTTTATGGCCAAACCCTTCCAAATCAACACTTCCTTTCCTCTTGTCCTGATCCTCATTTATTTCCTCTTGGACTGGAACATCTTGAAAGTCACCATCCCAAGAAGCAAAGGATTGGTTCTCTAACCTCTGTCCTGCTCCAGTTTCTCGTCTGTCCTCTTCCCCTTTTTGACATCCACCTCTCTCAAATAACAGTTTATGAGGATCGCTCTTATTTTCTCCCTCCTGGGCTGTTGGAATAAAGAGTGGGGAAATAAGGAGAAGTAAAACCTCAGATCCAAGAACTAACCTCAACAATTCTTTCTTTATTCCTATTAAAATAGTCCATAAAGCACAGTGGCTTTTCCAATCTGCTCACCCTGTATGGAGATATAGTCAACCCCATTACAAATGCAAATCAAAAGCCTCCACAAGACGCAGACAATAGAAGAGCTATATAATTATGTTTTATAATGCCCCCACATGATAAAAAAATCACAATTGATATACCTAATACAAAAACTAAAATCAACCTCCACACAAATGCCAATCAGATAAGCTTCAAGGTTTCATCCCAGAATTTAATTAATTAATTAATTAAAATAATTGTACCCCACCTTTGTGCACTCATCAGGGCCACCAAGGCCGAATAAAAATGTTCATCACAAAAAAACACATCTTAATAACCATTAAAACCAACAAAAATGCATCATTAAAACAATAAGAGCCAGAGCTAAGAGTCACTGGGATGAATTTTTCCACTGTTTCTGTAGTTCCAAAAGTGCTATGGTGATATGACTGGAAAGGGGTGGGGAGAGATCCTGACAGGTATTTCATAGACTCTGCAGACGCCCATCCATGGACAGGTAGGTTGTGTGGAGAAATAGATTTGAACCCAGCTCCACAGTCAGACGTGAGGGGCGTTGACTATCCTTGGGCCAATCCCTCTTTTGCAGAGAGCAGAGTGCAAACATTATAATTCAGTCCAATATCAAAGATTCTTAATGAGACAGAATTTGTTCTGCACATAAATAAGAACATAAGAACACAAGGCCGTGCTGGATCAGGCCAACGGTCCATCTAGTCCAGCATCCTGCCTCACTCAGTGGCCAACCAGTTCCTCTGGATAGCCAACAACAGGGCATAGAGGCTGAGGCCTTCCCCTGATGTTTTCTCCTGGCTCTGGGATTCAGAGGATTAATGCCTCTGAATGTGGAGGTTCCCTCGGTCACCATAGCTAGTGGCCACTGATAGACTTCTCCTCCATGAATCCAGTGAATCCCCCTTTAAAGCTGTAAGTGGTCTAAAACGTGGGACTCGTTTAAGAATATTAAGAATATGAGAGCCATAGCCTACAAGGAGAACATTTATAAAATGTTTCATAGATGGCATTGGTCCCCGGAAAAAATAGCTAACTGCTACCCCGGATACTCTAGTCAATGTTGGAAATGTAAGGCCAACAAAGGGACTTTTTTCATATGTAGTGGACATGCAGCAGAGTTCAGGAGTATTGGAAAATGGTGAGAAGATTGATCCAAGAAATTATGTGTAAAAATCTAGCATTGGAACAGGAGATATACTTATTAAATATGGTGCCTAAGGGTTACGGACAAGAGGACAAATATGTATTAGTGTATATTATAACCGCTGCCCGATTATTACTGGCAAAAAATTGGAAATTAGACATAATACCTAAGAAGGAAGAATTAGTTGCAAAGGTGCTAGATCTAGCACAGATGGATAATCTAAGCCTGAGGTTGCAGAATAAGTATGGAAAAGTGTATTATAAAAGATGGGTTAAGGTGTATGAGTGGATTGAGACACTGAATGTATAAGACTCTACATTATATGTTATCTATATATTGGAATGTTAAATATTGTAAAACCAAATAAAAATATTTATTAAAAATAAATAAATAAAGCTGTTTATTCCTGTGGCCATCACTCCCTCCTCTAGCAGCAAATCCCACATTTTAATCACTTTCTTTGTAAAGTACTATTTCTGTGTAAAGTAGTATTTCCTTTTGTCCAGGGAGCCAACTGGTTCCTCCAGGAAAGGAGAAGGTGCTCCATTTTACCTACATTTTAATCACTCGCTGTATAAGGTAGTATTTCCTTTTGTCCGCCCTGAACCTACTGCCCATCAGCTTCATTGGATGCCCTCGAGTTCTAGGATTTTGGGAGAGGGAGAAAAATGTATCTTTGTTAACTCTCTCCACCCCACACCTAATTTTATACAACAACAACAACAACAATAATAATAAAAAAAATAATACTACAGTTCTTTATTTACCCAACCACATTGGGTATTTATTTTGCTTGCTGATCGTGTGGAAACTGGGTTTCATCAACCAGTGGAAGAGAAAGTCTTACCCAGAGAGGCCACGAGCCGAGAGTTCTCCTCCATGATTTCCCTTTGCAGGGCCCTCTGGCCCTGATCCAGCAGAGCCCACTCCTCCTCGGTGAAATGTACGGACACGTCCTCCAAGGTCACCGGATCCTGAAAGGAGGAGGGAACATTCCGCAGGTTTGGATGATGTAATCATCTCTTGTGAGCTCAGTCCAAAAGTAGGGCCCAGAGGGGCCGCTGAGATCTTCTAAAATGATACCTGGCATGGAGAAAGTGCATACAGGGTGCTTCCCCCCATAATACCGGCACTTGAGGCCACCCAATGAAGTTGAAGGGCAATAGGTTCAGGACAGACAAAAGGAAACATTCCTTTATTTGCTGAGTAAATAAGAAGAAGAAGAGGAGGAGGAGGAGGAGGAGATTGGATTTATACCCCGCCCTTCACTCAGAATCTCAGAGCAGCTTACAATCTCCTATCCCTTCCCCTCCCCACAGCAGTCACCCTGTGAGGTAGGTGAGGCTGAGAGAGCTCTTTACAGAACTATCCTTGAGAGAACAGCTCTGACAGAACTATGGCTTGCCCAAGGTCATCCAGCAACTGCAAGTGGAGGAGTGGGGAATCAAACCCAGTTCTCCCAGATTAGAGTCCATGCACTTAACCACTACACAATAAGAACATACGAGACACCAATGTTGAATCAGGCCAAAGGCCCATCCAGTCACACAGTGTCACACAGTGGCCAGAAATACCTGTGCCATCAGGAGGTCCACCAGTGGGGCCAGGACATTAGAACCAAATTGTGGGATTCAGTACCAGTGAAGTTAGTGATGGCCAAGAATCATAAAGAGCTTGAAAACGGTCTAGATTCATATAGGACAGGTCTATCAGTGGCTCCTACCGTAGCTATGAAAACAAGGAGGGGGAGGAGGAGGAGGAGGAGGAGATTGGATTTATACCATACCCTTCACTACCCGAAGGAGTCTCACAACGGCTTACAATCTCCTTTCCCTTCCCCTCCCCACAACAGACACCCTGTGAGGTAGGTGGGGCTGAGAGAGCTCTCTCGAGAACTGCCCTTGAGAGAACAGCTCTGACAGAACTTATGACTGACCCAAGGTCACACCAGAAGTTGCATGTGGCGGAGTGGGGAATCAAACCCAGTTCTCCCAGATTAGAGTCCGTGCTCTTAACCACGACACCAAACTATGGTGAGTAAAGGGAACCTCCATTTTCAGAGGCTGTCAACCACTTAATCCCAGTGCTGGGGGGCAATATTAGGGGAAGGCCTGGGCCTCTGCGCCTGTAATGGAACCAGAGCCGCCGACCGGGACAAGCGTTGGAGATCGGGCATATAAAACGTACCTTGAGCGAGGTCTTCGGACCACCAATGAACAGTGAGTCGAATTAAAGTGAAATGCCGGGAATTTAAAAGAAAGCCCCCCTGGGAACAACGAGACGAGCGAGCGGGGGAGCGGCCCCTCCCATTAACATAAATAGAACAGCGATTTACCAAGGGGGAGCTGAAGCAAAAACATTGAAATCTGTTTTTAAAAATCAACCAGAGCGCCAACAAGCCTTTGGCCGAATTTCAGAAACTTTAGCAACTTTTTAAAAAGTAAACAATCCACAAACATGGTGTGGAAAAAAACGGAGAAAGACAAACAAGCAAAAATGAAACCACTGGGGAGCATGAGCCCGCGACCGGAAGATACCACTGAGTTTTCTAAACTCTGCGCCCTCTACTGGACCAGATGACGAATATCAATCAACAGCTGACAGCTTTAAACCAAAATTTTGCAGCTCAGCAGCTCCGATTGACTGAAACTACAAAAAAGACGGAGCAAACAGCTGAGAAAGTGAAGGAAATGGATGCCAATTCTAAAAAGGTTAAGAAATAGTTCAAATGCTGGAAGAGAAGCAAGCTTCAGATGAATTTCAACTTTTGCAGCTGCAAATGGAGACAGCTAACCTAGTCCTGCGGTTTCAAGGGGTCCCGGAAGCAAAATAGGAGAATCTAAAGCAACTTTTGCGCGCCACTAGCTCCAGTTACAGATTTAAAAGCGGAATATCTTGTAAGCGAAATAGATGCGGTTTACAAAGCCTATTCCGTTTATATCAAGAAAAATAATCTGCCTGGGGAGATAGTGGTTAGATTCTCGAAGAGACCTGTGAGGGATCAAATCCTGAAAGTTACTATAGGAATGCCCTTGAAAATTGGAGGAAATTTCATCAGGATTCTAAAAGACATTCCATTTGAAATAAGGAAGAAGAGGAAGAAGTATAAAGACTTGATTCTGTTTTTACAAATAAACAGCATTCCCTACAGATAGTTGACCCCCGAAGGCATCATTTTCAAACTGCAGGATAAAAAAGAAAAAATTGACTCTGTTTCTAAAGTGCGTGAGTTCCTGAGACTGCAACTAGGAGAGTCTGGTGAGGATGGCAAGGAAGAAGAAGACACCAAACGAGAATATCAATTGAGGATTAGAAAAGATAAAACAAAATGAAG